ACACACACACACACAGGCTGGGTTAGCTGTTCCAACATGAAGCCTTTGCAGCGTGTTCTTGCAGTAGACACATCGTACAGACGCATCATGCCAGCTGTTCCCGTTGCATTCGTTGCATCGCTTCTTCGGTCCTTGCACACCGCTCTCCTCTGTCGGCTCCTCCTTCTCTCCTCCACCCCCTTCCCACACTCTTCATCCTCGTTATCCTCTGCCCACATACATTTTTCCTACCTCCATTCTCTCCTTCACCCAGCGACTTGCTGTTGATCTCTCATTTTTTTCAGCCGTTATCTCCCTAAGCACACGGACTGAAGATATATTATGAGATCAAACACAGCAGTTTAACTTAACGTTCAGAAGCACAAGCCACCATTCCTAACGTTATTGCAGCCGCCGCTTTCATCCTCACCTTCACCTCCTTCATCCCCCTTTTTTCCCGCCTTCCAGCCATCTCCCTTTTTCATCCAACTTTTATTTTTCTCTGTTTTGCCTCCTTCTTCCTTCCATCCAGTTTTCTTTCTACTTTACTCATCCCCTTCCTGCCTCTCTTCACCCCATCTACTCCAGTTTCTATCATCCCCGTCTCCTCCCTTCCTGTCCTCTGTCCCCGAGGAAACAGTAATATGTCTCTTCCTACTCCTGGTCTGCTTCCCTCCATCTTCACTCTTTGCCCTCCACGCTCTTTACTACAGCACTAATTACTTAACGTCTGCCATCCGCTGTCTCACTTGGTGATGAGCGATATGCTGAAAATGTTAACCCCGATACAAATATCATACATAAAGATATTAAGCATAAAATATGCTTTTTCTATTGAATTTGAATTGTACTCTTGTATTAAAGAGACAAGTTATGTGCTGTGATTTAAAACAACCAAATGTTCAGAAACCCAAACGTTTACAACAGTGAAGTAAATGGAACAAGTGAAGACTGAAATAGTCAGCCATTCCTATTAATAAGCTTCACTGAAAATGAGCAGTGGCACTACTTTACATAGGAAAGGAAATATATTTAATGACTGAGGTGGTATTTAAAACCATCATCTAGTAACTCCATTGATAGTGAGATGAGTCAGGATCTTCACAATCCAGTTCTGACGTGTGAGAAAAACACTCACTCGGGTTGGCATCACTTATAAACTCCACTAACTCCCGCACATTATATACATCTGACTGGAAAACAGTAACAAGGTTATTACATTTTACTGCACTTTTCAAAGCCAGAGTTCTGTTTTGGAGAATTTATATTCCATAGTTAAAAAACCCCAACCCATTAAGACTTATTAGAGTATTTTGGGCCATGTTGACTGTTTAGCCACCACATGTTGTTATCCGCCTGTGTTGTAATATATCTTTGTCGAGTTCAGAAATAAAAAACAGACAGAGAGGTTGGCAAGAACCCCAGATTCGCTAAACTAAACTAACGCTAATTATCATAAGCAAAGCTTAGTGTACAAAACATTCAAGTAGCAGCAGCGTAGCGTGACGCTTTCCCCGGTTGAAATTACAAACGGCTGCAGGTCGTACCAGCTGTTTACCGCTTAACGATAATTCCATGAGTACCTTGATGACGAGCCAAAATTAAACTTCTCTGTTGTCAGGTTCAAGTGCTCTCTGCAAGCCAGTGTCTGTACGGTGTTTCTGTAACACCACTGTACAACCACAAGTACAGTGTTTTTGCAGGAGGGATACTACTTCTCTCTGAATGGATCGCTTCACACCAATTTCAGGAGTCGTATATTTTCATTCATATCAATAATTTAAGATCAGAATCAGATTTATTGCCAGGTAGGTTTTTACACATACGAGGAATTCATCTTGGTGCAAGATTATATACTTAATATGTTTGAACCAGCACCTCCAGTATTCGAATCAATCACTGTTATTTCAATTTGGCAGGTACATTTGAGTAACAGATTGGACTCTGTATCGGCACGATACTCGAATAGTGAATGCGGCCGAAGAAATGTGACTGGCACATCCTGACTGGAAGATGATCAAACTGATGCAGTATTTTGTCAGTGGGGAAAAATAGCAACCTGGATGTAACTCCAGTTCTAAGAGTGCTGCTCCGTGATAGGATAAATCAATAGTAGTAGCCAGTTAGGCTGAGCATGCATGAAATAAAAGATGATTATCCTTCTGTCTCTCATGTTATCTGTCTACTTATAATCCAATCCATCCAGCTCTGCAACTTCTTGGGACATTTAGCAAAATACTTGTCCCCCATCCTCTTTTATCTCTACAGCTCTATCCATCCATCTGGGAAACAAAACCTCATATGTGTCTTGTCTCTCTCTACAGACAGTATGATCAGAGTGGGAGGAGACTACCAGGCTCAGATCCCAGAGTTCAAACCAGGTAAGCTGGGATAGAGAGGAATGCATGAGAGAAAGGGAGATGAATAGAGAGAGAGGAGAGAGTAAGAGAGAGAGAGAGAGAGAGAGAGAGAGGAAATCAGGGCTGAGAAGGAGACATAGAGGTGAGGAAATGTGGAGGACATTGAAGTGGAGGAAGGAGGGGAATGCAGATGATGAGAGAAATGAAGGTCAAATGACCACTGTGGAAATCTAGAGAAATGGAGAGAGGGGAAGAAAATTATGTTTCTCCTCCTCCAGTTGTAGCTATAATAAAGTCATTAATTTACAGTGTTCTTTCATATCTTTTACTCTACCTCTTTAAATACTAAATGCTAGTTTACAGTTCACTGTGGGAATAACAGACGTTGTGTCTGTGTCATATTAAAGGGCCTTGAAGTGAAGTTGAATCTTAAAAGTTATAAAACGTGTTAAATAATAAGTATTATTAGTGACACCGTGCAGTAAAAGGCTTCTTTGAGGTTGATGTCAAGTCTGCTGTGCAATATTCAAACCCTTTATTTTATTTATCGTATCCTCTTCAGAAAACAGGCCTTACATTTTTATGTCAGATTTTAATTTGGTTTGAGTACAAATGATTAATGGTGGAATTAGGTTTAGTGAAATGCCCTGACACCTGGTTTGAGTAGATGTAAAGTGGCTGAACACTGAAAAACAATCACCATAAATGAAGTCGTCCCACAAACATCAGATTGCATCAGAGGAGGAGAGAAGCAGGCAAACCGGCCTCTCTTTTAACAGTGTCAGTGCACAGGTGTTGAATTCCCAAGAGAATCCAGTGGCTGACACGCCACTGTCTCCTCCTCATTTTTCTTGCTAATGAAGAGGATGCCAACGATGGAGACTGGACGGGCGAAAACCTGCAAAGGAGAGGGAGGAAGAAAGTAAAAGTTCTGTGAGGTTTGATAAGTAGACCGTCAGAGAGAGAGAGAGAGAGATATGCGGTGGAGGAAAGAACAGGGGACAGAGATGTGACCCAAGTAAAAGAGCGATTTAAATATACATATAACTCAAATAATATAGAAAAATGTCCCTGTTTGTTTCCATTACCAGACAGTCCAACCCGCTACAATGAGAAGGACCAGAGGAGCATGTTGGTCTGGTGTCCCAACAGTCAGCTTTCTGATGCAATGTGTAAGCTACACACACACACACACACACACACACACACACACACACACACACCACACACACACACACACACACACAACACACACACACACACACACACTTACACCTATCTACCTTACCTTTCATTCACTGGCACAAGCTTAACAACGTGACCTTCAGTTTAATGGCTATATGCTGACTGGAGAACTGCAATGAAACCTTTGCCCTGCACTTGTTTTCTCTCACTCTCTTGCCCCCTTTTGTCTCCATCTCTTTCCCCTCATTTCTTTATATTTCCCTTTCATCATCCTTCTTTCCCTTTTTCATACATATCTTCTCTTTTCTATCTTCCAATTTACCTCTCTTTTAAACCCATTGTTTTCCTTCTTGTCCCAGTGGATGAGTACATCCTGATGGCTAAAGAGAAACATGGATACAACATGGAGCAGGTACGGCAGATCAAGATAAAAATGTTGTTTGTTTGTATCTTTCTCCTCTGATTTGTTAACGTCCCTGGTTGCCTAACCCCGTCCTTGTCCCCTCTGTTCTTTCAGGCTCTCGGCATGTTGTTATGGCACAAACACGATGTGGAGCGCTCGCTTGCCGACCTGGCCAATTTTACCCCCTTCCCCGATGAGTGGACAGTGGNNCGAACAGGCCTTCAGCTTCCACGGCAAGAGCTTTCACCGCATCCAGCAGATGGTGAGGGACTAAAAACACACGCAGTCTTACAGTTAGTGCAGAATTGAGTGTAATTTTTGAAAACATTTTCAATATTTAATACTGAATTTATTTATTTCTGTGTTTGTGCGTAGCTTCCAGACAAGCTGATCTCCAGTCTGGTGAAGTACTACTACAGCTGGAAGAAGACCAGGACCAGGACCTCTGTCATGGACCGACAGGCCAGGAGGCTGGTCAACAAGAGGGAGAAAGAGGACAGGTATGAGATACCATGAAACTTTAATGGTCCCCAGGGAAAACTGGGCATGAGTGGAGGGATGGACAGAGAGAAGAATGCATATTGGAAGGACAGAGCAGGAATGAAACATTAAGTTCTCAGAAACGACTCATTTGAGATCTGACATTTACAAAACTCCTTTGTTAAATGACACTCGATAAGCATGTCATCCGGGGAAACAAGAGTCTCATGAATATGAATGAGATACTTTGATATTATTTCTTGCCATTTTCAGTTGACATTCTCCAGCATTTTAGAAATAGACAATTGGCTGGGGAAGAAGCCAAATCATGGGTGAATTTTCTTTTTCTTTCGGTAGTAATGATGATCTGGAGGAAGGTGACCCCGGCAGTGACAGTGACTTTGAGATTGACGCCAAGAAAGAGGTGAGCAACATAAAACTTTAATAGTGGTTGTTTGACTGACAGAGGGTGTGCATGCATATATAAAGACATTTTTGTGTTTAATTAGTCATGACTTGCCAGAGGAGGTCAGCCCAGCCAAATCAATGTATCTGTGATCCTTCACTTTCAACTTCATTTATTATACATCAATGTAATTCTGCACTCTTGAGTTGCTGTTTCTTGTACAAAGATGCAATTCTAATAGAACCCGATGTCTAATATTTGTGTGATTTCTCGGTCCGCACAGGCAGTGAAACAGAACCCCAACAGCGCCAGCTCAGACAAGGCCACCCCCAGCCGCTCTGGGCCAGTAAAGAAGGAAAACTTGGGGGCTCAGTACCGCCACCACCCGCTCAGAGCCCGCCGCAGGCCACCCAAAGGCATGTACCTGGAGCAGGGAGACATCACGTCCCTGTCGGCCTCCCACGATGCCGGGGTGCTAACCGTACGGCAGCTGGATACGCAGTTGGTGTCACTCAAGAGACAGGTATGTACCTTTTTTGTGTATTTTAAGCCTGGCCTTGGTCATTTGATTATAAACTGCAGGTATAAATACACTAGTGTATGTCTAGAGGTAGATTTTAATGTATCTTTAACTATGTATCTGTCAGTAAAGGTAAAAATGTAACGCCTTCTTCAGAACTTATGGTGCAACAATGTGTTAATAAATTGTCACAGAAGTTTGTGACAAATATAATGAATTCAGTGAAGAGCTGTTTTGCTTTTTTACTGTAAAATTGCTCCAAGAAAACCCAACACACCAACTGGTGGGAATGCCATAAAACGTATTCTGTGTATGTACTTATTTTTGGTTAACGGCATCAGTACTAGCTTAAAAAAAACCAAACTTGCTATTCTCTTTCCTCCCCTACACTTTTTCTCTCAGGTTCAGTCCATTAAACAGAACAACAGTAGTTTGAAACAGGGCATAACTGAAGGTGTCAACCCTTTCAGACCTGCTGAGGTAAGTCTTTGTTAATACCACTTTATTTTTTAGACTCCCCTCTCTGCATTCTGCCTCCTTTACATCCTTTATCCATCCCCTCTTTGAATATTGTTTCCTGCCTGTATTTACTTTTCTTCATCTCTAATCTCTCCTCAGTTTGTTCCCCTCCTCTTTCATTTATTCACTCTGCCCTCCCCCAACTCCCTCCAGATATTATTTCACCTCCTTGTGGGACTGAGATTAGTCTTAATCTGCTCTTTGCTCTCATGCTGTCATTTTCACCCCTCCCTCTCCCTCTCTCTTTCAGCCTGCCCCTAAGATGAACTCTCGTTGGACCACAGAGGAGCAGCTCCTGGCTGTGCAAGGTGAGTAAAGGCTGCAGCATCTTCTTCCTTCCCTCCTACAGGGTCACCCCATGCTACCGGCTCTCCTCTCCCTACCTCACATTCACAGGCAGAAATCAGACTGTTAGACACATTCATGTTTTCCACACACACAAACTGTGGTAGGTAACATTTCTCCTGAAAATATTACTGAAATATTACCACATAGGCCTTTGTTCAATCTTGAATCTGTTTCATTTGAGGTGGATTGAAAAAGATCATTTACATATTTAAGTTTCCCCTCAGCTTGGACTGAGCTGTGTTGCTGTATGTAATGTGTGGCTGTGGCCGATATTTTGCACTATTAACTCTATAGTGTAATCACCATTTGTTGTATTGTAAAAATATTCTAACCTATGTAGTGGACTCAAATTATCCCACAATGCAACATAAATTAGTGTACAATAGATGGTAACTGATGAAATGAAAAGAATGGCCTGTTTTGTGTAAGAAATAGTTTAATTTTACCATCTGACACTCCATCTACAGCCACCATGCACTTATTTCCATTTAAAAGACAAATGCAGGTCCTCCTATTGTGCTGCCTTTGATAATTTGATGCAGCTGAAATAAACCGGAGCTACTAGGGTTCAGTTCCCAGCTGTGATTGAAGTGAATTAAAATCAGTGTCCACAGCACTTTGCCAAATAGAGAGACACAGTTGTGTTATAGCTTTCAATGAGGGTTATTCATTCGAGGGGGATTCATGGTTATTTATTGTTTGTTGTAATGGACACAGAGCTCTGCGTGGCCTGGCACCCAACTAAATAAATTGGTGTTAAGTTCTCATTGACTGATGTGGAATTAGATGTGAAATTATAATCGCATGTTATTATACGACAAATGAAAATGGCAAAAACAACCTGATGGGTTATTAAGGTGGTCTTTACATATTATGGACACTGAAGGTTTCAGCATTCTTTACAAGAACTACTTCATATTATGTGTTGTAAGTCTCTAAAGCGTGTTTTCTATCTGTTCTGAATCACATCGAAGGCGTAGTGAAAAGCCTGCCATCAAAGCCTCATCCTAGTTAGTTCATGTATTGGGATACATTGGGAGTTTCAATCTCTGTAGATGAAATCCATAAGTTGCAGTCAAGGTCAGAAAGACAACTTCCCTTTTCCTTTAGCAGCTGCAGTCAGCGTGCTTTTAAAGCGTAGCCCCCCTCAACTGCAGCTGTGTAGTGCAAACAGGAAAAGAAAGCAGAGGTCGAGAGATATGAATGTGTGTAGTAATGCGAGTGTGACAGGCCTGGAAAAGAGCAGGTGCACTCAGCTGGCCGACCTCAGATGAAGGTTAACAGAAAACACACATCCACAAGCCTGCTCACGCTGCGTTCGCGCTTCCTGTCTCCCCTCACACACACACTGCCACATTTCTCTGACAGAGAGCGAGAAAGGAGACTGTTTTTGTAGCTTTTTGGTGGCAACGAGTTGGTTGAGTGACGTATTTAGGCACAACATTGACCTGGCGTTCTTCTGTCTCCTCTCCAGCTATCCGTCGCTATGGTAAAGACTTCTCAGCCATCGCAGAGGTGATAGGGACCAAGACACCAGCTCAGGTGAACATCCTCTTTCTAAAGTGTTGAACTTGGGTTGAGGTCTTGGGGAGATCCCGTCTCTCATCCCTTATTCTGACCTCAGTCTAACCTTCTTTCCATCCAGCAGTTTACTTTCTGTGAGCTATCAGCTTTTCATCTCCTCTCCAATTTCTCCCTCATCCCTCGGTGTAGATTAGCGTTTTTCTTTATAGGATAACTATAATCTCCATTATCCCTCCTTTCATTTGTCTGCTGACCTCCAATCTCCGCCTCGGTGTCCTTGAACGCAGCACAACTTTCTGTCCTCCGTCATTTCTTCTCTGACTCTCTGTCTCTGCCTGTCCGCTCAGGTGAGTTCGTTCTTCGTGAGCTACCGGCGTAGGTTCAACCTGGACGAGGTGCTGAGGGAGTGGGCGGCCGAGCAGGTGGCCACCAGCCGAGACCAGAGAGACCCCAGGAGGAGCGGCGAGGAGGTGGCAGCAGCTACGGATGGAGCCGCCGAGGAGGACGAGGTGAGCCGCGTCAGAGGATACGCCTTATACAAGGAATGCCTTATTTAACCTAAAGCAAGAGTTTTGGAAATACATAATAATATAATATAAACGGATTACATCAGTCTCATGTCTGTGCATTAAGTACAGAGCTGGAGTCAGAACATGGTTAGCCTAGCATAGCATCTTAGCATAAAGACTGGAGGCAGGGGGAAACAGCTAGCCTGTCCAAATGATCATGTTGTATCTTGTTCACTTAATCCGTACCCAAACAGAAATGGTTTAGCAGTAATTCTATTCTCTAACTTCTTGGCAAACAGCAGCCCTGCACAGCGATTGTGTCATCAGTGAGTTTGTCAGGTTTGGTGCCATCGTGCCCAAACCTCACCACATATGGTGCACACCAGCCACATCTGGCAACAGGAACAGAAACTTTGTCAAGCAATCGTTACAACACTAACTCTCTTACGAACTAAAGCTTCATGTTTTATCAGTGAGCTTTAGATATGTTGACAGGTGTACTTTTTAAAGTTTGGAAGCAGTGGAAAACAGGGGCTTGGCAGTGTTCAGTGTTTATGCTAAGCTAACATAGCTTACCTAATGGAAACAGACTAATGTTGATCTTCTCATCTAAGTCTTGGACTGAATTTTTTTATGCTGAACTATTGGTCTAAGTAATCAAAGGAATAGTTAGCATTGTCCTTCATCGTCTCTTTGACTTAAGACCAGAGGTCAGCTGGTCAAAGTTTAATTTATGGTCATTCATATTTTTCCTTTATACACCTAAAAAGATTTTAGAAAATTGCATTAAAAGTAAAAACTACAGCCTGGTAGACTGGAGAAGAGTTGGAGAAGGGGAAACGTCTGGCTTTAGTTCCAGATTCGATTAAGTGTCCTCACTTGTTGCCATAAATACAGTATATTCAAAATCCAAGATGGCGGAAGCGCCAAGGAAGAAATGGCTAAAAAAGCTTGTGAGATATAAAGTCTGTGTCATTAACAGGACCACCAACTTAACTGACCACTGACTCGCAGCTTAAAGTGCCTGTTGGTGCAGTCGCTAACTGAAGTGGATTTAATGGGTGACATTCATAGATCACAGCTCCGAGGATACTGAGCAGAAGGAGCAGGTGGTTCTAATATTCTCTCCGGTGTCGGCTGCTGTGATTCCTCCTCTTCATCATATGACATCTGTTTCAATTCACTCTCTCCTCAAACTCTTCCTCTCTCCACTCCTTCCTCTTTGTTGTTCTCCAACTGTCTTCTTATCTCACCTCTTCTTTCATGTCTACACTGTTTGCCCTCCTCCTCACCTCTCTCTCTGCCTCCTCCCTCCCCTCAGGTCAAAATGGAGGACTCTCCCCCAGACGCCGCCGGCGGCTCCTCTCCCCCCTCCTCCACCCAGACCCCCTCCTCCCTCTCCCAGCCCCCTCCACTGCTGCGCCCCGCGCCTCCGTCGGCTCCCCCCAGCCTCCTCCGCCAGCCTCCACC